CTGGCGCCTCAGAGTCGTCTGGATTGAAGATTGAGTGTTGGCATCAAGTGAGCTCAAGTGACGTAGAGTACAAGAGTCAGTTTCGTGGGGTTCGATGTGAAGAAGTATGACACAAGAAGCGGTAGAAGTGAGAGGGCAGTGCAACAAGGCCAGTTGGCATGACATTTTGATTTGAATTCAAGTGAATTTGATGCGACTGAAGCTGTGAGTTGACCATCAGACACCACCTTATTAGAAAACGATGTTTCTGCTGTAGCCCATCGGCAAGGTCTAGGGCAAATCTACGAATCATTCTGCAGTAGATGCCGTGGGTGGCTCTTTCAGAACCCTTTGCAGATCATGACGGACTCGAGCCGAGACGACGCTGACAGACGAAGTTCGCAGACGTGCGGACCTGAGGTATCACAAGCATGGCTTGGGCCTCCACTTTGTCTTCCTGCTGATGTGCCCCATGTCAAGTGAGACAGAGCGATGAAAACAATGCGCCGAAAGTGTCTCACGAATGGCGTTGGCAGATGCCTGGGAGGAGCGACAGTCCAAGCCGTGGTCATGTAGACTCTTGAGGTACATAACCTCCCCCATTTGAATGCACTGACTTGCGGACTGTCTCTCCCGCACCCACAGCAATCCCCCATTTGAATTGGACATCCTCTTCATATGGGGGATTTATTAGTCAAGAGTCTGCATAAATAAACCTGAGAAGTATCACCTTCTCAGTTTGAGTGATTTGTTGCACCTCACTTTGGGCAGCAACTGAATGACCCGGGGACCTGTTCCAGTTCTTTAGCCTTTCGGTTCGGCTGCACCTTGTGAAGTAACTTGTGGTAAATTCTGATGGTTGTCACTTTCCCGGTGTTTCTTTCACCCAACCCCAACAAAAACGTCGTGAACTTTTGACCGCTCGTCCCACCGCATGCCTGGCATGAGTCGGTCGAATCCATCGGCTAGATCTGCAAGGTGCACCTGCTTCAGCTGTTTGGGATTGGAAACGATGGCAAATGGGTCTTGCAAGGCGGTTGCTCCAGACATCTGCCAGGTATGTGAACCCTCAAGCGTGCTGCTTTTTCACCTCGAGGCCGCGAGAGGGATGCGGAGCTGGGGCGGGATTCATGCGGAGGGATGCGGAGGGTGTGGGTGGTGATGGCGTTCTATCGTTTTATGTATTAGTTCGGAGGGTGGAGGCGTTCCAACTTGGGCAGGGTCTCGGCCGATGCATCGATGGGGAGAACAGGAAACCTTCGGTTCGTTTCGGTTCGGTTCCATCGGTTCCACGTGTTCAGCAGTGAACACAGCAGAAGAGGGCATGACGCACAGGATTTGGCCGATTACAGCATAGTTTCCATAATGCCCCATGGGAGTGTGTTTGGCATCGAGCAGCGGTGAGTGCCATGGTTTTAGGCCAAAAACATCTTGAAAGTGATTTTCGCCTTGTGAACATCGTTTTGGGCATCGTTTCTACGATTGCTCGTCTCAAACTCATTTTCGGCTGGCCCAAATTGTTTCTGGCTCATGTTATTATTGGCCTCGGCGCTTTGAACAGCATATTTTTTCTGATTGACAGTGTGAGAGATTCGTGTGCAGAGGGTTGCTTGCAAACTCAACAATGCCTTCTTTCGCTGCAGCACTTGGCCACGGCTAAAAGCCCTTTAAGTTGGTGTAACACTCGTGAGTTTTGCAATGGCTGCCCCAAGCCCTTTGGCCAGTGTCCTGAAAGCCCTGCCCTTTTGCCACAAGCCCCCGCTCAGTTCGTTTCGGCTTCATAGAGGCCGGTTTTCAGTCCGGTTCGGTTCGTGCCGGTTCCATAGAAACTGCTACTTGCCCGGTTCGGTTCGCAGTTCGCGGTTCGGTTAATGAGAGAGAGAGAGAGAGTGTGTGCGTGTAGGCTATGCAAACTGCAGGGAATTGGCACTTCACGCCCGCACTTCGCTCCTGCTGGCTGTTCAAAGGCTCTTTGACATTGACCTCTTCAACATCCATTTTGGCACCCCCAGCAAGATGAACGAGGCGCTTCTTCGCGTTCGGCGAGCCTCACTTCGAGCGACCGAGAGACATCTCGATGGCAAGGACAGAACGGAACAGATCATCCACTTTTCCGAACAACGAAAATCTGAACCCAGCACGGGGGGGGTCAAGCACCACCCCCAAAAGGTTTGTTTGATTTCCCCAAGACAGTCTAGGAGTCTAGGCATCTTTGACAAAGCCTTGCTTTTCACACGTGTGGCACTCCCCAAAACTCAACACCACACTGCTTCTCATCTCCTCCCACGAGTGGAACACCACCATCGCAAAGCCTTTGTTTTTGCCCAACACGGGAGGGTCGAGTCGTTAAAACAGCCCCCAAGGTGCTGTCCAACGTGGGTTGCCTCTCACTGCTCATAGACGTGCCATTGATGGTCCTGTTGGGTAGCCGAGACCGAAGACCATTGAAGATTTGACGGGAGAGGCTACGGGGAGACGGTCTTTTGAAGAAAGACCCCGCTACTGGAATGGGTCTAGAATGGGCAATCTGACTTCGGATTCAACTTTGATTCAACTCGGCAAAGAAAGATGTCGACTGTCAAGAAAGATGGCCATTCCATGCCATTCCAATGATTTGGAATCAAACAATAGCACCGATTTGAAGAGGTCCAGGTCCACTATCACTTTAAAGACGACCAGGGCCTCGGAATCTGGAGATTGTATGCGTCGATGAATGGCTTCACACACCGTTCTTCAGATGACACCAAGAGTCTGCAAATTTAAGGAGGCTTTCCACCCACAATCCTCAAGCCCACAGTTTGCAGGTTTGGTAATGCTTGGCAGAGGTCTTGTCCTTTATATAACCATCGCCATCCACTACTCTATGGCTGTTTGAGTTTGGGGATAGGCCCGGTTTCGCCCGATGTTAGGAAACACCACAAAAAAATACGTAAGCCATTTCTTTGGTGGAAGCCATGGTTCACGTCTGGAAAGCAAGCACGGGGGATAGATGTGGATAGATGATGCTGTTTGCTGCCATTTCTTGGGCCAAGCAACCATCAGTCTGTACAGCCAGTCTGCCACCCAGGAAGTCTGCTGTCTTCTTTTTGGACACGAATGGCCTGCAAGCACCCAAGGTGCGCTTTGCGGAACTCCGCACTGGCCGGCGTCAATGGATGTTGATGGATCAGGACTCGACCTGCCACACCCTGTTGAGCTTTCGCAAATTACATACATATTAGATATATATATATATACATACACCTATATACATATAGTACGTTTTCATCCATGTAATATTTGCAACCGTTGCAAGAACCTGTCCAAACTCGTCAATGCGAATAGATCATTTGGGATTTACCCATGGACGGTGATCCGCTTCGTAGCCACCGTATCCAGGTTCGAGGGAGTTGTCGGGACCTGGCAGGTAGTGTCCTTCCACTTCTTCAGCATGTCAGTCGGTCCAATTCAATCAGATGACCACAAAACCGCTGGTAGCTTCAGCATCTTTGTGGAACAAACCCACCCCATGAGAAGAGGACGCATGGTGCTTCTTTACCCGAGTAGGAGATCATCTGATCACCCACTCTGGAGGCTGAAAAATCGACCACTGGCACTACCAGTGGCTCCATCCATGTACGCGAAATTTGTTTTGGTTCGTGTGGCCCCACCCTCACCCGGCGCGGAGGTCACACGGGTCTCCATGGGGGTCACCGCCATCCATCTGACGTTGGCGGGGAAGCACGGAGTTCACTCCGAACTGACCCCCTGTCGACCCAAACATCGCGTGATCGCATGACGTCACCCAAACAGACCCAAACATACCATCGGCCGATTTTCGGGGCAGAAAGACCAACAGCATCGCCCCTGCCGGTGGAATTCATGGAGGACCATGGCGAAGTTCTTGTATGGTTCAATAGTTCATCAAGAGTATAGCCCCCTCCTTGTTTTCCATGAACCAAGAGGTTCTTACTTCTTACGAGAACAGCTTGGTCCACGGAAGACCCACCTTGGACTTCTAGGACTGCAGATCCAGGCTCTTTCAAGTTGGATGTGTTGAAGCCAAATGAGGTGAACCCTTTTCGAAGCAATTTGTCATCTCTACTTTTCACCATTTTTTTGAGCTGTGACCTGAAAGGGCAGGGAATGGTGGCGCTGGATCCGTTGGGCTATCGTTGGGGTCTCCCCTGAGTCGTTTGGAGAGTAGCCCTTCTTTCCGCAAGTCGTTTTTGGCCTACAAGAATAGCTACTAGGGGCTCCTGGCATCGCTACTGGGAGCAAGGACGCTACTAGGGGCTCCTGGCCGTACTACTAGGAGCAAGAAATGGGGCTAGCTCTCTCTCTCTCTATCTCTTTCTGCTGTTGCCATGACGCAGTTCCAACTGGGTCGCAGGCACACGAACAAGGACCGGTGACCAAACATGAACAGATGCGGTCCAGAGGCACCTGAGGTCTCCCGACACAGTATCAGATATTTCACCTGATTCTGGCATGTGTATTGCTACGTAAGGGAATATCATTTTGTAGTTGGTACGTTTAACATTAATTAACTATTGCAATTGTTTGGCTGTTGGAACCCGGCAACAGAGGAAACGGGCATGGAAGGTATGCGCAGCTATTTTGCAATTGTTTTGATCGGAGAATCTGCAGAGCTTCTTGCCCAGAGCCACCTCACAGCTTTGCCCAACAAGATGCAAGAGGCAGAGTTCATGTGATCTTAGATCCAAGTCCCAGGCCGACGGAAGGCATACCTGCAGAGAGTTCGAAGATACCTGGCCCGTGAATCGTACCACGTGGTGCTTCAATGCATGCGATGAACTTTCTGTCTTCCAGGGAACAACGCGTCGCACGTAAGTGCGGCGAACTACTTTACATTTGCAAGAATAGCTGGCTTGCGATTTTTCCCAGATCTTTACTGTAGATAACATTAGTTTTTTACATCCCCTTGTTTTCAGTGATGCTTCCTTCGTTCTCGATTTGAAGCATCTTACACTGCAGCTTCTCCATGCGTAGTTTTGGCCAGGGTGGCATCCCTAGAGGTCCCCGGTGAAAACAGCGTCACGATCGGTGCGAATTGGTAGTGATGGATCCATGGTGCCCGACGCCCGGGATGTGGAGCTGGGGCACGAGGAGCACTTGGAAGAGTCCCTTGGACCAGTATGCTTCATGTCCCACCTGAGAAAGACTGACGAAGGCCCAATTCTCCTCTTGTCAGAATGTTACGTGACTAGGGCCATCTCAGGACTCAACCACATACAATATTCCCACAACCCCAAACAAAACTACGGTCTTGACACGACAAGCTCGTTGGATCTTAATTGCTGCTAGAGTAGATCTTTCACCCAGAGGGAGTGAGCAAGAGGGAAGGAGGAAGGCAAGATCTCAATCTCTCTTTTTGGCAGCTGCTTCGCTCAAGATGTTGAAGACCCCACCAAGAAGACCTTGCAGAGGCGTCTCCTCACCAGAGAGTGTGGGCGACTCAGCTTCAGTCCAGACAATTGTGAGAGGACTTGCACAGATCACAATTTTGCTCAACCCGCAGTACAAGCCCACCAGGAGGATTGAGGTTCACTCCGCTAAAGGAGTCTTCTCTTCGTCCATGTGGCTGCGTGCAGCTTCTGGTTTTGGGAGAATCAGGGCCATGGAAAGCCAAAAGGTAGAAAAAGAGCCCCATGAAGGAGTCAGGTATCGAACGCCAAGGAAACAAGACCTCCGAGCAGTGGAGGGCTTGGCCGCAGGCCATGAAAGACTATGAGAAGGCACAAGGGCAGAGCCAATGAGCCCAGACACTTTCACATGTTGTTTTTCGCAAAGGGCTTGAGCAGACTTTCTTCAGAATCTCCTTTTGCGTGCCACTCCAGTGGAGAAGATTGGGTTTGCCGACCTGACCACCGCGCTTCCTGGCCAACAGGTGAAGATTCCGCAAAGAATGAGCTCGAAGGTCCTTGGCTCAATCCAAGAAGCTGTTGTTTGGGACTTGGAACTGCGAAAGTGAGAGCTCATCTCTCAAGGCTTGTTCTCTCACTTCTTGCGAGTTGATGGCTGCCAGATAATGGGAGAAGCGCTGCGCTACTGGTTTGTGTAACGGGCACACAGTCAAAATGAAGGCATGTTGCTGGCGGGATGTTGAAAGCTGTCAATCTGCACCCAAAAAAGCGGGCAGCACATGTTTTTGTTAGCGGGCTGAGAACCGCGCTAGTAGTCGTGCAGTTTTTATCAAAGCAATGCTCATGTTGTCACACGTTGCGTCAAAGTCAGAACCTTTCATTTTTACTGTAGATAGCAGTGGTTTCTCATGTTTCCTCCGTGGCAAGAGCTTATATGTTTATGTTGCCTTCTTGCATTTTTTGCTGAAATTAGCTGTGTTTCCGATTTTTACGCTACTCTTTCGGGACGGTAAGATATAGTTTTCTACATGTATTTTTTTCAGGGTGAGCTTTCATCGAGACACTGGACATTCGTACAGGGTTCCTCTTGGACCTTTGGGACTTGGGGTCCAGGGGGGGGGGGGGGGGGGGGGGAATGACGTACGGTCCGCGACGTCGAACGTTTTCGTTTATTTAATTTAACATGATACATCTTGGGTTGCTCCTGTCGCTGTCGCTGGTTCAAGTTTTTTTCTAAGAGCAGGCAGCATGGCGCACTTGTCTTGCAACCACAGCCAGGGAGAGTTTAATGTTGTCAAGAGAAGAGGGCCACAGCCGTCGCTGGATGTCAACACAGGTTCCATTGATTGGTTTTGGGCTCGCGCCAAGATGGCAATTCCCACATCCATGCACACACTCTTGTCCAATAGTCAGGTCAACCCCCAAATCTTCAAGAGTGTCCAAAGGTACTGTTGGAGGTGGGAAAACACGAGTAAAGATTTGATGCTGTGTACAGGACACACCGTTTCAAATATCCTGGGATGCTGACGGGAAAATCGTCCGAAGGCAACACTTGGCTAGACAAGTTCGAATTTGTGTTTCGCTGTAGCGAAATGACAAAATGCCTTCAAAGACCACCGAAAAAAAGTGTAAATTTCATGGCTGCGTTTGTGAGATAATGAGTATTTCGCTACAGTGAAACGCAACTTTTGCTGGAAAACCATTGGAAATGAGACGTGCAAAACTTGTTTCTACTTCGTTGAATGTGCCGAAACGCAGGTTTTGAGAGGTTTTCGAACCCTGTGGTTGAATGTTGACGACTAAAAAAAGCAAAAACGCAGGCGCAGTTGTCAGCCCGGCGGGATGTTTTTGTTGTTCCTCTGCATGCACTGCATGTGTCCTCTAGAGGCTTGCAAAAAGCCTCTGCAACTTATGAACTTGTGCACCTTTTGTCTCTGCCTTGCAAGAATCGTAGCATCCTGAGTGCTGAAGCGGGTGGCTCTGGGACTTTGAAAAGTGTTTGCTCAGTACATGGGGTGGGAGTTTTCAAGGTTCCTTTTCATCCTCCTTTCAACACGTTGCAAGAATCCCCTAGTGGTGAAGGGCCCTAGTCACACAATCTGACCACCTTGGCTTTGCAGGACGATCCAGGTTCGGTTTTTCGATCAAGTCGGTTAGTGGGGTGATTGGTTTACCCGACAACACACCAAGCACAACCCCCGAGAAGCGGGAGCCAACATGAAGGGATCCGGCAAACGTAGCAAAGTCAAAGACTCCACTGGTTTGGTCGAAGTGACGAACAGTGTTTTGTTTTTGGTCATACAGATTTTGTCCACCAGGCACCCTGCTATGGGTAGACAACTGGAATACTTGGCACATGAATTAGGTTCCCGCCAGCTGATGCATATCTTTGCATAGCCGCGGGTACCTTCCCATCATTCAAAGAAGGATCAAACATGAACATGTTCGTTCTTTGAATCAGGTGCAGCCTCGGTCCAACCACTTGGCGTCAACTTGGGGTGTCATTGGCATGTGACTTTCGCATTTCAGGTTTTTCGATGTGCTTCAAGAGGAGGTGGCGGATCGTTCTGGGCCTCAGAGCCCCAAGGGAATCCGTACACGGAACCACTCCTTCAATTCCTTCTCCAGGCGCGGGCTGGGGCAAATCAGTGCTTTTGATAGTACAGGAGATGTCTTCAGCGGTTCTTTTGCATTCACTGTCACTGTCGCGGCTTTCCGAACATGATTGATCCTAAGACCCTTACGGCCCTTACGATGGTGAGGCTTAGCACTCTCGATATAGATAGTCGAAGCGTTTCTCAAACAATCACTGAACTACTTGGTCCATACAATGGTTTCTTCCTCCTTTTTTAACATTTTGTTCAAGAAACATATGCGAGCCAAACCCAGACACAGCGAAAGCTTCTGCGACTGACCATTAAAGAATTCTACTCCCTGGAGGAACACCTCTTGTTCCTCCTTCCAAGATGCACTGAGCGAATGGGAGTTGGAAGTTCCAGCCATTGCCCCGCCGCGCAGGCGCGGGAAAACGCACGGAACATTGGGACATGCGTAGTGTTTGCCTGGAATTTGCGGGGGGTTGTAGGATGCTTTACTGATCTTTACTGATTTACTGTTTCCAGATGGGGTTAGGTTACAAGCAAGTGAAGAGGAAATGTAAGATGTTTTCAATTTCTCAATACACTATATTTCAGGAGTACAGGATGATCTCTTACGAAAAGACAGGGGATGGGATAATAGGAGAACCCCTGACATCCTGGACGGGTACAAGGGCTACTTCTTGTTTGTGTTTTATTTTTTTTTAAATTTGTACAGTGATTTCTTTCAGAGTAGATGAACTAGGCCTAAGACAACCCAGATCCCCCGCTTGGATATCGATGAATATGGATGAATATGGGTGTATATTGATTGGTTCATCTAGATATCGTACTTTTTCTTGGAGAAAAACACTCTCCCCCTCCATGGCCTGGCGGTTTTGGCCGTTCGAGGTCGAGTTTGAAGAGCAGCTGGCCTCCCAGCCACCTACGGCGGCCCTTGGAACTGCTGGGCATCAGCCTCTGCTGTGCCAGCACGGCGTTTGCTTTGCGGGCACCCTATGAGGCGAAGACCAAAAGGAGAGATGTGTAGATCTTTCGTCAAAGGAGAAAAATCCACTAGTGAGTGAGTCTACAATGATCTAGCACAATCTATGTGTTTGAAGAGTGGAAGTTGACTTTCCCTTGGAGGGGGGGTTCCTCCCGTGCATGTTGTAGCAAGTAAGACCTCAATATAGAGAACCATATGGTATGCCGTACCTGTTCTTGCTATCACTGTCTTCCAGAACAGTTTTGAATGCAGGAAACTCTAGGTGGCCTTGAATTGGATGCTCTTTGAAAATATCTTATATACATAGTGATTCTGGGCCATGTCCCTTTTTTGGTAACGTGTGTAATTAGGTAGGTTCACTTGTTCACACCTGTTCATGCGAGAGCGCTTAAGAAGAAGCGTTTCAATCCAAAAAGCTTCTTCTTGGCTCTGCAGTTCGGCCTCTCTATTTCCCTTCCAGGATCTTGCCACATCGCCCCTCAGGTCTTGTCTTCACCTCCAATCCTCCCACCGGTCTCCAGGCGACCGAGGCGCTGCCGCTGCTGCTGATGCTCTTCGCCTTCGCAGCCATCGCTGCCTCGCTGCTGGGACCCAGGCGCGGTGCCTTCGCGAAAGCCTGTGGGGTCCGAGTTTCGGGATGGGGGAGAGGTTGGGTGGAATCGAGGATTGGAACAGAGAACTCACCTGGGAAGGTTGGAAGCGAACAGATTCGCAGGTCGTGACTCCCCACCCACTTTCTTTTGCAGAATCAGGTACTGTAGAATTTTGGGACAAACCTCCTAGGGTTTCTAACCAGATTCATGTAATTCTTCCTGAACTGAACACCTACACAAGCTTTGAAAGCCCCATTTTCTTTCCAAACCAGTGGTGGCCTGTGGTCAATGTTGGTTCTCAGCAGGGGTTGACGTTACTACGCGTATAGTTAATAACTATACTGATGTTGGTTGAGATACCCAAGAATCAGACAGGCTTTGAATGGCTTTGATGTCTCGGTGAACTGCCTTTGCTTTCGATCTGGTTCCTGTTTGTATGTTCCGAAGTTGGTCCAAGTAACACCCTCAGTGACTGGCTAGTTTGTGTAATTGGGGATGCCTCTGCTTCAACTATAGTGGATACCGATGTGGCCTTGGGTCAAGCAAGAGTCAAGACCAACGGCTTGAGGTCAGGATGATCAGGATGACATTGATGTGTCCCAAGTCCTCTTCCGAAAAAGAATGCAAACCCACACACTTAGATTGATGCTCGCAAGAGCTAAATCAGTTGGTGAAGTTCCACTTTACTGCAGGTAGACCTTGACACGCAGTTAGATCCGCATCAACAGTATGGTTTAACATGGGTGAGACAGGAGAAACGCATTAGCACTTTACTGGTGAATGGAAAACGAGTGGAGTTAAAATTGCAGGTACACAGGAGTGATCAGCTCCCGCTTCCTAGGACCAGTGCAAAGAGCTTCGTTGGGCAGAGCCTTGCACGTCCTCTCTGCCCCCCTGCCTAGTGAGTTGAAAAGTACTAGGAAAAACGCATTAGCGTGCACTGGTTGGTGTCCTTCGGTACAGGCGTGGACACACACACATGACATTGGTTTTCATTTAGCTCAGTTCCCAAGCTGAGAAGGAAGGTGAGGGAACGGAAAGGTGCATGAGTCCGCAAAGCAGTATTGTTTAACAAGGTTTCACAACGAGCGCAAGTGGAAGCGGCGGTCAGCAGCTGCAATGCGGAGGGAAACCTGTTTGTGGGGAAGGTATCGTGCGAAACCACCATGAATCAAATCGAAAGTGGAAAAGCTTGAGCAACAGTTTCCGGTGCAGGTACGTCGGCAAGCGTCCTTGCCGATGTCCTAGGATCATGTGAGGAGCTTCGTTGGATGGAGCCTCACATGTCCTCTCCATCCCCCTGCTGTGTGGCGTGAAAGTGGAGAAAAGAACCCTTCGGCACAGGGGTTGACACACACTCTGACATTGGTTTTCAGTGACTCAGTTACCACGTTGGGAAAAATGGTGAGGGAACGGCAAGGCGCATGAGTCGGCCAAAAACAGTATTGTTTAAAAATGCTTCCACAGGTGCAAGTCTGCAGTTGGCGGCTGGCTGCAATTCACGATCGGCTAAGAAGTGCAGTGGAAAAACCTGTTGTTTGTGGGAAAGTAGCATGAAGAAGGACCATGAAAACAACGAACAGCGGCAGGGTGGACCAGCGGAGTCAATGTGTTGAAAGCAGGTACGTCAGTTCCGCGTCCGGAACTGATATCCTCACCATGTATTGCCAGCTTCGCTGATGGAGAAGCAATACAGGTGTCTCCATCCCCTGCTTGGGAGTCGGTGGTGAAGGTTGAGAACCCTTTGTCCAGGGGTGGACACACACAAATCGCCGGCTTCGGCGCTTTTTCCAAAGAACGGTGGCACACATACGGTGCCGCTTCGCGGCGCGCATGTGAAAAACCTAAATAGTCACCTAAAAAGCCTTAGAAACAAAAGGAAAGAAAGACAGAAAGAGCAGCGCTAAGAGGGGAAGAAAGAAAGATAGGTGTAGGAAAAATGATTACTTAGCCCTTGACTGGGGTAGGGAAACGAGCCTCAAGAACAACCTAAAAAGCCTGAGAGAAAGCCCAAGAAACGACCGAAGGCGTAAGAAGAAAAGCGGGGGGCAGGGAAGTGTATGTACATGTGTGTGTCCGTGTGTGTGTGTGTGTATGAATACTTAGCCCTCTAGAATTACTGATTACTTAGCAGAAATGAATTGCGTGCAATAGCTAGGGAGCGGGACTTTAGTCTTAGACCGCCCGGGTAGGAAAGACTAGAAAAGGAACAACACAGGGAAAGGCACCGACACACAAGTGTGTGGAGTACCATTTCCCTATGTTGCCCTAAAGAGGTAGGGAGTAGAACTCAGCGGGGGGGGGGGGTGGGGAACCCGGCCCCTTTGGGGGGGGGGCCCGCACCGGTATATAGCCCGGCGGCTGTCTAGGTAATCCCGTTTTTGGGCCCGGCGGCCAATGCATCAGTTGATTCTATGGATGTGTCAATGACTTCCAGTGGAAATCCTGTGAAAGGTGGCAAGTTGGGGTGGATGATTTCCTATGCAAAAACGGCGCCCCTGTGACGGGGATCACACTCAGCACCCGAGTGGGACGGCTGAGCGAAACACACTCTGACATTGGTTTTCAGTGACTCAGTTACCACGTTGGGAAAAATGGTGAGGGAACGGCAAGGCGCATGAGTCGGCCAAAAACAGTATTGTTTAAAAATGTTTCCACAGGTGCAAGTCTGCAGTTGGCGGCTGGCTGCAATTCACGATCGGCTAAGAAGTGCAGTGGAAAAACCTGTTGTTTGGGGGAAAGTAGCATGAAGAAGGACCATGAAAACAACGAACAGCGGCAGGGTGGACCAGTGGAGTCAATGTGTTGAAAGCAGGTACGTCAGTTCCGCGTCCGGAACTGATATCCTCACCATGTATTGCCAGCTTCGTTGATGGAGAAGCAATACAGGTGTCTCCATCCCCTGCTTGGGAGTCGGTGGTGAAGGTTGAGAACCCTTTGTCCAGGGGTGGACACACACACCACACACTCTGACACTTGTATTCAGTGAACTCAGTTACCACGCTGGGAAGGAAGGTGAGGGAAACGTAAGGTGAAAAAGTCAGCGCAACTGAAATGTTTAACAATCTGTTCACTCATCTGCAGAAGCGCGGCTGAACGTCGGCGGCTG